CTTGGAAGGAGTGCTTCAGAAAGGGACCTGAAAAACACCTCCCCATTCCCCAAAATAGTGGTGATGCCATCTCCTACAGTGGTGTTTGATCAGGTCAGTGTTTCCCTGTCCAAGAGCTGTTCATACTCTGTAGATTTTGTAATAAGACAGGGTCCCTGCAGTTTGAGAAATACAGGCAACAATGACAACACAGCAAGCTGGGGGTGGGGTCTGAGATCAGTGCCTCCTGTTATGGGAAGACAAAACTCAGCCTGGGAGTGGGGGTTGGAGGTGGGGTAAGGAATGCTTCTAGGCAGAGACAGCACTAGAGCAGAGTCCTGAGAAACAAATGGGACCGTAAGAGGGCACTAGGCTTTCTTCTCTGCACACAGGTAGACCTGAGGCAGGTACTTGAGAGCGGTACAGGTAAGAGTTCAGTGGCAGCAGCAGGGATTGGGCTGTGACGGCTCAACAGGTAAACATATGCGTTGTTCATGCCTCATGACCTGACCCTGGGACCCAAGGAAAAATGTCAGATGTGGTGGGGCACATCTGTAATCCCAACACTCCTATGGTGAGATGGGAGGCAGAGACAGAATAATGCCTGGAAGGTTGTGGTCCAGACATCCCAGAGAGCGCAGCCTAGCATAAACAAGAGACATCCTGCCTCAGAACAAGGTGGAACAAGAGAACCAATTCGCAGAAGTTGTCCTCTAATTCCACATGCATGTTGTGGTACATGCATGGCCACACCCACACATACACATCTCTCTCACAAGCACATACAACTCTCTCTCACACACACATAGTAGTAATAATTGTAATATTAATGAAATAATCCGGTAAAGTCACACCACAGGGAGAGTGTAATGGAGGCCGTGAGTAAGCAGTTAGCAAAGCTGGTCCACCCCAGGCTGGGCCATGTGAGCTCAAGAAGCTGGCCTGAGGGCTAAGGGCTGAGGGCTGAGGGCTGAGGGCTGTATGTATGCAACAGAACCGCATGGTCAAATGTGTCATGTCTCACAAAGATTCTCAGAAGCAGGAGCATGACTAGGACTAAGAGATACTCAGGAACGTTAGAGCCTGGCAAACAGCCCACACCCTTTCTAAAGAGTGCAGCTACCGCTTAGCTCCATCATCGACTGCACTGCAAGAATACGGCTCAAGAGGTGCCTGTTTCTTGCTTTTTCAAAGGAAAGCCAGAAACATGAAACTTTATGTGGAATGTCCTGACTTTTAAATGCAGGCAACTATTCAAAATGTTTTAAGAATGCTCAATGGGCCAAGCAAAACAAGTATTCCAGATGGATTTCAGTCCCTGGGAGGCCACCTCTGTGCTCTGCTACAGAGCCACCAAAAGCTGCGGGGAGTTTAAGGAATGTGAGTGCTGGTCATGTAGATTAGGGCACAAGGGACAGTCTAAAGCCAAAAGAGTAAAGGCAGGCGTGCTGGCAAGGGGACTGCTCCCGGGGCCTAGAACAAGGTAGTTTCTGAAGGTAAAAGCAGCAAGGTAGAAAATGAAGAGAGGAATGAAAATCAGAAGGCTGTGGCACAAGACAGGAGGGCGGGGTTGAGGGAGAGGGACAGTAGCAACTTTCAGGGATGGACTAATAGCTTGGCCATCACTGGATTGCTGATGTCTTCTACTGCAATGGAGAAGACAGGTAACAGCAGATTGAAGCAAGGGTAAGGAAATGATGGCATTTTAGACATATTGGAAATGGAGTAGCTGAGTCTAAGGGAACATTCCTGCAGTGACTACATATACTCAAGAGTGTCATGGCTGACACTGTGGCTACCTGGAGCCTAGAAGGTGGAGGCACTCAAATCCTGGTTCTGCTGCTTAGGGATTTCAAAGCTTTGGACAAATCACAGTATCTCTGCAGCTCAGTTTTACTCATCTGTATAATGGAAGAGGCACCACCTCATTCACAGAGCTGTTGGTCAGATGAGATAATACATTTTTTTTTAGCATGGTGCCAGCGATTTAACAAATGCTTTTTGGTTTATGGTATGAGCCCGAAACTCCATGAAGAGGATAAGCAAACCTACAAAGATGGGTGACGGCAGCACAAAGTAGAAAACAAAATCATGGAAACCTATCTACACAGTGAGAGAGTAAAAGACCAAATGCAAGATACCAAGGATAGCTTGGCAAGTTCAAATGCAAGTTCCAAAAGGGAAGTAGGCAGAAGGAAATAAGTGAAGTGACTGAAGCCAGGGAATAGTCTGTGAAGTTCATTCCGGGCATGTTGAAGAGTCTGTGGGTTCTGATTTTGTGGCAGGTTATATTTATAGCCACATTGGGCCCATGTGTTGGACGCACCTTTGGTACCCAATGTTCCACAGAGTCAGGAACCTTGCAAGTCTTTCCAACACAGCACTTGGTTGTAACAATGCATTGAGCAATATACTGGGAGTATGAATAGTATACGGGTCCATCAGATAAATGAGTGTGACCTGGACACCAAGTTGTCGGCCCAGTTTCCGAGGGCACACAGAGGAAGAAGAGACCTGGAAGGCTGACAGGTAACACCTCCATTCATCACTTTCTCAGCTGTCTTTTCCTTTCCTCTCACTTCTGCTCAACAGCCCCCTCCCCAGTGCAGCTGAGAGGCAGTGCCATGCGTCAGATGCCAAGTGTGGTGCAGTATTGGACGAGTGTGTGTGTGTGTGTGTGTGTGTGTGTGTGTGTGTGTGTGTGTCCGTGTCCTCATCCAGGAGTCAGCTCAGCAGACATAGTCCTAGGAAAAGGGGGATGAGGATTCAAGCACAGGACAGCTGTCCCTTCCCTGTGCTTCTCCCATGATGTGTTCTGTGTTCTAGGGGGAAGGAACACTCAGAAACTGTCATGGGGCATGTTTTCCAGTGTTCCCACTGACCCTTCACAAAGCCCCATGTTTGCACCATCCCGTCTGTGTTGCATCAGCTAGTTCAACTAGACTGACTGTTGACAGAGGGAGGAGCTCTCTCTAAAGCTCCTCTTTTGCTTCAGCCCTGGATGTACAGTGGACACCCAATCGCTCACTAGCTGGGCAAAGTGTGGGCACAGACTTGCTGAGGAATCATAAAAGTTACTTTGATTCAATGCTAGTCCTGTGAAGACTATCTTCAAACACCTGTAAAACACAACCTACAAACCACCCTTATCTGCACAAAGACATTTAGACTTGTTCTCTATAATATTGAGAAAGTGGAAACAAACCAACTAGGGAGATAGGTTAAGTAAACTACAATACCTCAATATTGTGCAATAGTCCACTGCCATTCAAACGGCAACCAGATTGTCCATGCATGAAGAAACCACTCCCGGGTGAGTAACAAATATAAAAAGCAGAACATCAAACAGTCCAGACATAAAAGAAAATACAATGTAGTAGCTACATAAAAAAGGCCTGGGGGTGGGGGGTCAGACAGCCTCACGTTTCCCATGGGAAAGACCCTGAGCAAATCACACTTCCTTTAATGTTGTTTTTCTGTGTAGGTACTAGAGGCAGCATCCACTTCTCAGAGCAGAGGAATGGAAGAAGACATTATAGAAAGCAGATCCAGCAGCTGCCTTGCACGGAGCTCTTTTCACCCCAGGGATCACAGGCATCCAAACTCATTCACAGGCAGGAAGAGGAGGGGCATTCTGGGGAAATGGCCACCTCCTCTGTGAAAGGAGACTGCCTGTGGCAAATATGAACCAATATTCCATTTCCTTCAAAAAACACAGTAAAAATGCACCCTATGCACTGATAACACAGCCCATAGGGATATATGCAAATTTTATGCAAACCCACATAATTCTCTTTGCTGGATACCTGGATGTGGCCCTAGGGATAATCCTAGTGAAAAACTGGTTTTCTTCTAAAGGAAAACAGAAACTGAATCACATTCAGGAAAATTCAATACATCATAAAATTCCGTTTTTTTCCTA